ATTGAGAAATACTGAGTGAGCTGTGATTGGTCACACCTTGTCACATGGTACAGGTACAAGGCTGTTGCGAATAGCCTTGTACCATGTGACCTCTGTGCTCATTCACAGATTTCACACGTAGTAAGCAATGATGTCACATCTTACTTACTACTTTGCATGTGATCACTGATTGGCCAATCAGTGATCACATGATCGGGACCTTGAACACAGGTCCCGTCCAACGATCGGTGTTTCACTGTGTCTGGAGGACACAGCGGGCACCGGATCGCGGTGCTGCACACTCCCAGGGAGCGCGCACAGCTAGAAAAGGCGGGTGCCGTTTATGAACGGCAACCCGCCCCTGGACTGCCACCGCCTTGCTGTTTATAAACAGCAGGCAGACGTCAAGTGGTTAATGAGACATGCAGGGTCTAAAAAATGTATTGCGATGCAGATCACATTGCAATACATTCTTTCCCGGCTATGCTAGTTGGGGAAAGTGACAGGGTGACCTGGAAGTGACGAGAGGAGAGTGGTGGTGTTTGCTCTCCTCCCTCCCCTCCATGTCGCTCCCGGGCCCGCAGATAGGCAAGCAGAGCCCAGAACACTTGGCCAGGGCGCACGAAGGGTTTTAATTGAATAGTAGACAAACTAGGTATTTTCTGCAATAAATGGTTCCCACCTTCCTGTTGGCAAACATCCTTGATATGACTCGGTACCAATATTAATTGACTACGGGGGTATATGTGTGGGAGTTAAGTTTATCCCGTGGCATCTAATCAAGATGGGTAATTATGCCGAACCCAGAAGACAAACTGGAGAACATGGAGTAAAAGTTTGCAGTGCTGGAAGCCAGTAGAGTTCAGTTCTGCTTTATAGCTGAATTCTAGGATAAGCAATTATTAACTAAACACAAGAGGCATGTGTATTCTTCAATCATGTTTTTTGCGCATTTTCTCCAGATCTTTGCAGCAATCCAGTGTGAAATGTTACCTCTGTGCAGGAGCTTCCTGTAATAAAGACCGGTTACTGCTGCTCTCTCTTTGTGCAGGGTGACTGGTCTTGTCTCCACCCCCTCCTATAGTGTTCTGTAGACAGTCTGTAGTGGTGGAAGCCTGCTGGGTCCCTCCCACAGCTCTGCTCCCTGTAAAGACTATGTGCAGCACAGTGTTACTTTTACAAATGAATATCTGGCTTTGCAAATATATCTGGTGCACTCAAAGTGGATGTATATGCTTTTGGTTATTGAGGTGTATCTTTAAATGATAGTTTTTATGTACCAATTTCTGCTGTAAAGTGGACCTTTACCCTGTTAAGCAAATAATTTCAGGTGCATGCAGCTCTACACACTGATCATTGAACATCCCTAAGTCACATTACAAAATATTTTATCTGTAAACTTATATTTATTTTTTCTACCTCCTGATTAAGGCCACTGGAGACATAGCCCAGGCCTCACAAATACCCCCTGAGAAAATTACTTTATGAAAACCATCCAGGGAAATCTTGCATGCACAGTATGACATATCATCGACCTGCGGGAAAAAAGAAACCTCCCCTGCCTTCCTTCTCGCAATCTTGCATAATCTAGCAGTATCTCAGGGGTTGGTTTGTTTTTTTTTTTTTTTCAAGGGTCAAACGGAGGCTGCACAGCACATGCATCAGACGAGGTGCAAATGTCATTGGTGGGCTGGCACTGGATAAAAAATAAGAAGACTGCCTCCAACTTTTTTTTTTTAAATGGTGGTACGGGATTCCGCCTGGAAGTGGTGCACCTTTGAAAACAGTGCAGGATGGAGGTAATTACTACTAAAGCAGGCCATACATTATACAATTTCCTTCTTTCAGCTATGTAGTGCAAGGACCTACCCGATTGGATAAAAAGTAAAGTGTTGTTTAGGTTTCACCGCATATTATGTTTTTGGTAAAGCTAAAGGACAACTGTACAAGAACATTATACAATGAATGGCCAGCCTCAGTTTATTAATTTTACTAGATAGATTACATGTAATCAGGTTTATTCTCCAAGATGGGGGAAAGCTTGCTTTAAAGGCTCGTTTTATACCAGCTGATCTGCAACGATCTCCTTTGATCAATGCAAGCCTAATGCTTGGAAACTGAGAAAAAAGGTGTTACAATGCACTCTGGGACATTGCAACACACTGTTGTGCAAGGAGTTAAATGAAGTGTTAACCTCAAGTTACATTTAGATCTCCTTAGTGTATGGGCTCATTTACACTTGCTTGGACTTCAACACACAATGCGCTTACCGCTTCAGCATGCTTTTTTGATGCTTCAAATGCGCAATGGCAAATGCACGGTGTGTGTGTTGATTATCGATTTGTTTTAAAGGGGCTCAGTAAAACCCCAGCTTTATTGGTACCCCTGTTCAGCAGATCCCCAGCTCATTGGTACCACTTTTCAGCAGATCCCCAGCTCATTAGTACCCCTGTTCAGCAGATCCCCAGCTCATTAGTACCCCTGTTCAGCAGATCCCCAGCTCATTCGTACCCCTGTTCAGCAGATCCCCAGCTCATTCGTACCCCTGTTCAGCAGATCTCAGCTCATTGGTACCCTTGTTTATCAGATTCCCAGTTTATTAGTACCCCTGTTTAGCAGATCACCTGCTTAGTAGTAACCCTCAGCTCTGCTAATCCCCCACTCATTAGTAACCCCCAGCTCTGTTGATCTTCTGGTTTGCTCTTCCTCCTTTCTCCCAGGTCTCCGCTCACCTCCCTCTATATTGCTCCAATGCCGCACAGCACTTGTGACATTGCTAGTTTCTCCTGCTCTGTTGCCCCAGTTGAGCTGATCATCTGCCGCTCAGTCCTCTCTCCCCCAATCCCCACGCACCTTCTGCTATAACGTTCCCATGTTGCACACCATGTGCGCCATCTGCTCTGCTCTGGACCCCACTCACCTTTCTGCTGCTCCACATCAGATATGACATCTGCACCAAATACTCCCAGAATATAAACACATGAACCACAAGTGACTGCTGATGACGAGAGACAGCCTTTGTCGTACAATTTCATTAACACTAAAAAATCTTATGGAAAACCTTCCCAAAAGAATGTTTAGCCACAAAAGCTCATCTAGATATTATGGTCAGGTGTCCACAAACCTTTAACTATATAGTGTATGAGCTAGAAATATACGTTTTGTTGCTTCTGAAAGCATAACCTGTTATCTAGTGAAAAGGGAGACAGAATACGCAGAAATGCTTTAAATATTATATATAAATATTGCATTTATTTCTAATATATGATTTTCCTCAATAGTACACATTTTTAAAAAGTCCATCAGTGGCTCTAATAGATTTAAATCTGGATGGCAAAGTTTGCTTTTCGATTTCCCAGTGCTTCCTGGGATATCTCATACCTGCAATACCTCCAAAACAAAACGAAGCTAAAGCTGAATAAAAGCCGCAGGTGCTGTAAGTGAGGCTTTGTCATAGACTTCTATGGAGGCTTCGGAGATGCTCTGAAGCACCAAGAAAGCGACATGGGATATAATTGTTGAATCGAAGCAAAGCAAAAGCAATGTGTAAATAGGACTGTAAGCCAACCATCTTATTTAATGACAGGGACTTTGACTGGCATTCAGAGCGCTTTAACCGCCTCCCACCATATAGTACAATGACAGGCGCAAGGCGGTTCTCTCGTTCTGGGAGGACGTCCACCTCCTTACTAAACTACACTCCATTGGCATCAGGGACTCTGTTCTCTCCTGGTTCTCCTCTTACTTATCCCAATGCTCCTTCAGCGTTACCTATAACGCTGCCACCTCCCCCTCTCTGTTGGAGTCCCCCAAGGCTCTGTCCTCGGACCCCTTCTCTACTCCATCTACACCTCCTCCCTTAGGAAACTGATACAGTCCCACGGCTTCAACTATCACCTCTATGCCGATGACACACAAATTTACCTCTCCACCCCTCACCTCACCCCCTCACTGTCCGACCGCATCGCCCACCTCCTAAATGACATATCAGACTGGATGTCGCTCCATTTCCTCAAGTTAAACCTTTCCAAAACCGAGCTCCTAGTTTTCCCCCCAGCCCGCGCCCCCCCCCATCCTCTCCATCACGACTAGCAACGCCACCATCAATCCCACCCCACACGCCAAAGTCCTGGGTGTCACCCTGGACTCAAGTCTTTCATGTCCAATCACTATCAAATTCATGCAGGCTCCACCTCCGCAACATCTCCAAGATACGTATGTTCCTCACCCCAGACACCACTAAACAACTCGTACACTCCCTCATCATCTCACGCCTGGACTACTGCAACTCCCTCCTCACTGGCCTACCCAGACACATGCTATCCCCACTCCAGATTATCCTGAACTCAGCGGCTAGACTCATCCACCTCACCAACAGCTCCACTTCTGCCATCCCCCTCTGCCAATCCCTTCACTGGCTCCCGATTGCCCAACGCATCAAATTCAAATGACTAACTCTGACATACAAAGCCATTCATAACGCTGCCCCAAACTACCTCACTGACCTGATACCCAGATACGACCCTACCTGGGCCCTTCGCTCCTCACAAGACCTCCTACTCTCTAGCTCACTGGTCTCCTCCTCCCACGCCCGACTGCAGGATTTCTCCAGGACTTCCCCCATCCTCTGGAACTCCCTACCCCATTTCATCAGACTGTCACCTACCCTCCTCACCTTCAGGCGCACCCTGAAAACCCATCTCTTCAGGGAAGCCTACCCCACCCTAACAGCTGTTCTCCTCCACTCCTCCTACCACTCCATCCTCCACAGCCACTTCCTCCAGTACCTCTACCCCCTCGTTCCTAGATTGTAAACTCGAAAGAGCAGGGCCCTCGAACCCCTCGTGTATTGTATTGTTACTGTATTTCTCATGTACTGTCCTCCCATTCGAACCACGCATGCGTGGAACGCTGTGTCCCTCAGACACAGCGGATCACCGATCAACGGAAAGAGCCAAAGATGTCGGCTCAGTCATGTGATCAGCTGTGTCCAATCACAGCTGATCACATGTAAACAGGGAAATGCCAGTTATCTGCATTTCTCTGCTCACGAGCTGTCACGCTGACAGCTCGTGAGGAGAGGAGAGCCGGTCCTCAGAGGGGACATCTACACTGGTCAGAGCACTAATGCTCAGTGTGCCCTGATGATCTGTGTAGTATCATTCAGTGCCAGCTGTCAGTGCTCATCCATGCCACCTACCAGTGCGCATCAATGCCACATACCAGTGCCCATCTGAGCTGCCAGTCAGTGCCGCCTATCAGTGTGCATCAGTTGCCGCCTATCAGTGCCACATGGGTGCTGCCTTTCAGTGCCCATCAGTGCCACCTACTAGTGCCTCCTCATCAGTGCCCATCAGTGCCACCTATCAGTGTCCATCAGTGCAGCCTATCAGTGCCCCATCAGTACAGCCTCATTAGCACACATCAGTGAAGGAGAAAAATCACTTATTTACAAAATTGTATAACAAAAACTAAGAAAAAAAATTTTTTTTTCAAAATTTTCAGTGGTTTTTGGTTTAAGAAAAAATAAAAAACCCAGAGGTGATTAAATACCACCAAAAGAAATCTCTATCTGTCTCAAAAAAATTATAAACATTTCATATGGGTACAGTGTTGCATGACCGCGCAATTGTCATTCAAAGTGTGACAGCGCTGAAAGCTGGAAATTGGCCTGGGCAGGAAGGGGGTATAAGTGCCCTGTAGGCTAGTGGTTAAAAAAGCTTGTCCGAAGTCACATTTTGAGGCAAGTGTAAACAAGCTCTAAAAGTAACATACCCGCACTGCAGTGTCCACTCCTGCTGATGCCATTCTATTCACTTTACTTGTCCCATGCTGGAAATCAACACTATAGATGGGCTCACGGTTATGCCAGGAAATCTCACAGGTGTTGACCTTCATTCTAAATGCTGGGACCTGGAAAATAGCAGAAAAGAAAGATTAATTCAATAAAATACCCGAAAAAGTAGCGAATGCCTCTTTTAGTTCGGTAAAAAATTCAGTGGAACCTCAGTTCTGCCTACCAGGACCCCATGATAAAATGTTTTCCTTGCTTACTATCCTGGTGACAATATTATCATAGGGCTCATTTACACTGTCTGTTGAGCTATGTTGATCAATGCAAAAAAAAAACCCAATATTTTTCTATATATCCTGTTCCACATATATGATAAGATGACCAGGCACTCAGATGTGGTGCTCATCCCTAAATTTGTGCCCCTCTGCATTTTCTATTTATTCCAAAGTAAAGGTTCATGTATGCTCAGGGAAGGTTGTTGAGCCACATTTTTATTGCCCTCCTTACACTGCAAAGGCAGTCAGAAGGGGCTGTAAGGGCAAAATTTATACTCTTCCCCACTGAATGTGTCAGGCAGTACCGCTGCTGAACATGACCTATTCAAGTCAAGAGTCACCCTGCAACAAAATGCAAAGTGCATAGTGGTGCGGGCTTTACAGGGTTACAACAGGATGTGAGGAGGAGACATCGCCTCCTCACTGCCTAACAAATAGTTCAAAAAAAAAGATCCACCTCAGATCACTTTTCAGAGATGTCTGCCCCAAATGCAAACTTAGCCTTGTACCATGATAGGTTGTTGAAGGAAATGTATGTTTTTTAGGTCTGTCATTTTGTTTCCCCCCCACTCCATTCTATATTTTGTACTAACATGTTGATTGTTTTGTATTATACCCAGAATGAGTTAATGAAAATATGCTGTGTCAGTTGTGTTACAGAACTGTACTCACAATATTCTTCTATTTCTTATCTTAGTTTAGCCTTCGCAGTAGAGGCGCAGATAGTATCCAATTATTTCTTTATACTAACAGCACCTGTTTCTGTTATGATATAATTAAAAGTCAAATACTTCTGTCCCATGGGAAACAATTGTTGGATACTTGTAACTGATTTCAAGGTCTGAGAAAAATCATGTTTACAGCCTTGACAAGTATCTAGCGAGATTCTATTGTATGTAGTAGATACGTTTTTGAAAACAATGTAGACATTTTCCTTATTCCTGGGAAAATGAAACTCGGCTTCTCATTTTTCAGAATTGACGTCAATGCTTGTATTATTTGTATTCAGCCAATCAATTACTGACAACGCAGTTTTTTGATACTCTGTGCCCCCCATCTTTCTTTTTTCTGTTATATTAATTTTCTTCCCGCTAATAAACTTGAGAGATTGATTTCACCTATCACTGTGTGTATGTGTCTGTTGCTTCTGAGGTGAAGTCAAATCCTCCGGACGCGTCCGTATTTTCAACAGACTGATAAAGACAGATAGCCAGTGGCTAGCGACAACCTTTCAGTTGTCACCTGTGCAATAAGTCCATCCGTGAAATTTCCTTGCTACTAAATATTCCACGGTCAACTATTAGTGGTATAATAACAAAGTGGAAGCAACTGGGAAAAACAGCAACTCAGCCACAAAGTGGTAGGCCACGTAAAATTAGAGCGGGGTCAGCGCATGCTAAAACGCACAGTGCGAAAAAGTCGCCAACTGTCTACTGAGTCAATAGCTAAAGACCTCCAAACTTCGTGTGGTCTTCAGATTAGAACAACAGTGTGTAGAGAGTTTCATGGAATGGATTTCCATGGCCGAGCAGCTGCATCCAAGCCTTACATCACCAAGTGCAATGCAAAGAGTCGGATGCAGTGGTGTAAAGCACGCTGCCACTGGACTCTAGAGCAGTGGAGATGTGTTCTCTGGAGTGATGAATGTATGTGTTCTCTGGAGTAAGAACGATGTTTGCCTGACTGCATTGTGCCAAGTGTAAAATTTGGTGGAGGGGGATTATGGTGTGGGGTTGTTTTTCAGGGGTTGGGCTTGGCCCCTTAGTTCCAGTGAAAAGGACCTCTTAAGGCATCAGCATACCAAGACATTTTGGACAATTTCATGCTCCCAACTTTGTGGGAACAGTTTGGGGATGGCCCCTTCCTGTTCCAGCATGACTGCACACCAGTACACAAAGCAAGGTCCATAAAGACATGAATGAGACAGTTTGGGGTGGAGGAACTTGACTGACCTGCACAGAGTCCTGACCTCAACCCAATAGAACACCTTTGGGATGAATTAGAGTGGAGACTGTGAGCCAAACCTTCTTGTCCGACATCAGTGCCTGACCTCACAAATGCTCTTCTGGAAGAATGGTCAAATCTTCCCGGACACAGTACAGGGGATGACCAGAGACTGCGGACACAGTACAGGGGATGACCAGAGACTGCGGACACAGTACAGGGGATGACCAGAGACTGCGGACACAGTACAGGGGATGACCAGAGACTGCGGACACAGTACAGGGGATGACCAGACACTGCGGACACAGTACAGGGGATGGCCAGAGACTGCGGACACAGTACAGTACTGTCAAATTCAGGTACCCGCTCCCCCTCCCTCCCCAAAGGTCCGCAGTCTCTTGATCAAATCCCCTGTATTGTCCGCAGTCTCTGGTCCTCCCCTGTATTGTCCGCAGTCTCTGGTCATCCCCTGTATTGTCCGCAGTCTCTGGTCATCCCCTGTATTGTCCGCAGTCTCTGGTCATCCCCTGTATTGTCCGCAGTCTCTGGTCATCCCCTGTATTGTTCGCAGTCTCTGGTCATCCCCTGTACTGTCCGCAGTCTCTGGTCATGTCTGTTATAAATAATTGTTCTTCATAAATTTAGGCCGAGATGTATTCTGCTACATATCTTTGGTGAAAATAACCCAAATTAGGATGTATTATTTAGTTTGTAGGAAAGTTATAGAGTTCACAAACTATGGTATAGATCTGAAATATTGATCAATCCTGAAGTACTGACGGCCAATCTAATTTCTTGAGGTCCAAGAATGTCAGAATAGTACAGATATCCCCCAAATGACCCCTTTTTGAAGAGTAGACAGTCCGACTACTTCATAAGAGGCATGGCAAGTTTTTTGAAGTTGTATTTTTTTTGTCATAATTTTTCGGAAAATGAAAAAATTAAACAAATTATTTTCACTATTTTGTTTTTTACATACTGTCACCAGTGCAGTACAGCGTCATCATATAACTGGCATGGCGGTGATCAGGGACACTGACTGGTGACAGTATGAAAAAAAAATATATATTTTTTTTAATTTTTGTATAATTTTTAATTTTTTATTAAATTTTTTTTTTTTTAAAGATTTTTTTTCATATTTTACTATGACCAAAGTAGTACAATGTTACCATAGTAACATTGTACTACTTTGGGGAAGTGATCAGTATTTTTTTTTTTTTTACACAATTTGCTTATAGCAAAGAATTACTTTGCTATAAGCAAGCATTTACCTGAATGAAATTGATTCATTCAGGGTTTTTTTTTTTGTGCATAGCTGTGATTTGGTCACAGCTAATCACGACATGTGCATGTGATTAGCTGTGACCATTCACAGCTAGGCACTAGTATACAATGGATGGCATGAATGAAGCCATCCATTGTATACAACTGTCATGTGACCTACTGTGATTGGCACAGCAGGTCACATGGTACCAGCAACGGGGGCCGGTACTCAGATCTGTCATCGGCCGTGTCCGAGGTACACGGCCGGTGACAGATAGCGCCGCTGCGCGGCTCTGCAGGAGCGCAAACTACGCATGTGCGGGAGCACGCCAAATGGCGTGCACCCGGAATGCCGAAGCGCTTTTGCAGCCGCCAAACGGCCATTGGCTGGGCGACAAATGATTTAAAAAAAAAAAAGCACTGATACTGTACTAATGGCCCTGGACAGAAAGGGGTTAACATGTGGGGCAATCAAAGAGTTAACTGTGTGCTGGGTGTATTTTACTATGGGGCTGTTCTATAAGCACATACTTTGTAGCTGTGCTGTGCTCAGCCATTCAAACTGTGCACAAGCTGACAGGGAGAATAACGGCAAACTGTAATCACTCGGCATTCGGGCACCGGCAAGTAATCACTGGCCGGGACCCGTTGATTGGCATCCGCAAATGGCGCGGGCGGGGGTGTGCGTGAGCGCCACCTACCCGGAAATGCGAAATCACGTATATACACACACTTTTTTTTACACCATTTCATTTTTTTTAAAATCAGTTTTATGCTGTCACAAGGAATGTAAACATCCCTTGAGACAGCAATAGGCAGTGACAGGTCCTCTTTATGGAGAGATCAGGGTATATTAGACTCCAGACCTCTCCTGTGCCCTAAAAGCAATCAAATGCTTTCAAGATTTAAAAAAATGGTGCTGTGTACTTCCCGGGAAACCAGAAGTGACAACGGTACTCGTCGCTTCCGTTTTTTTTTTATACCGTAGAGCTCATAGAAGACTGCCTGGTCCTCTATGGCAGGGGTGGGCAACTGTGGTCCTCCAGCTGTTGTAGAACTAAAAGTCCCATGAGGCATTGCAAAACTGACAGTTACACGCATGACTCCCAAAGGCAGAGACATGATGGGACTTCTAGTTCATCAACAGCTGGAGGGCCACAGCTGCCCACCCCTGCTCTATGGGTAAGCCGATGGAACTGCTGGCTTCACTTCCAGAATCTCTGGTGGGATGGAGATTTCAGAGAGGCACCAGCGGGAAGGGCAACCCCTCCCACCACCTGTCAAAGCAATCCAGTGGCTAATTAACTGCTCGGATGGCTTTTAGAAAAAAGCCAGCCGCCAGCTAAAAAAAAAAAAAAGTGATACCAGGATGATGCCTGCAACTGTAGATATCCCATTACAACACTTGAAACCCTTCAAGTATATATATGTTAGTGGGTCTTCAAGTGGTTACAATGTATGTCCAGTTGCACCCACGGGGCTCCACCCAGCCTTTGGGCCCGTTAGCACACATGGAGGGGGTGTAAGTGCACAAAGATGGGCAAGGTTTTGGACTTGCCTGTTGCAGGTCTGCATGTTAGCGGGAATACCCGCACATGTGCAGATGGGTGGGACTTTCTTAG